TTTATTTACTGCGTTTTGTGAATGCATGTTGAATGTATGTTGAACGCTAGTAATGGACATGTGCGCGGCCATGTCGATAGGTGAGATCAAAATTATAAATCCCTCACGAATATTAAGTCTGTTGCCTTCTGACGCCCGGCACCTATCCGGCTAATGTGCACTGTCATGTACTCAGCCTCAGCAGAGCATAGTACGGTGTGTGTTAAGCCGGTTACGGGAACCGCCATAGCGTGGTCACTGTCGCACGTTGGGTTAGACTTAACTGAGTCTCGGTCAAATGGATGGACGATTCAGAGGCAGTAAGTTGGGGTCATCAATGACAAGTCGGATGATTTTACTCGCTCATCCAGCCAGGAGTTGGATCTTTATGATTTAATTGGAACTCTGTTCCTAACCAAAGTAGTCTGCTTGTAATACGTGCCTCAGCCAATTACGAGTATGGTGAAAAGGTGTCCTGGTCCGATTGTAGTAATATTGTTCGCCCAACACCAGACCAAGAGCTGAGAGCCTGGCTCATCAGTTGGAACTATGTTCCTACCTAAATAGTTGTCTTGTGGAGTAACGCCCAAACGGAACGCAAGATAATGAAATATGGATCTTGGCCCACTAGAGGGTTCACCGGAAATCTCCGAATCAATATCGAGGGTTATTGATTTGTTAAAAATAGTGGGAGATAATTAATTAAAGGCCTAATTAATTATTAAACATGATAGATAACCTAGTTTGAAAAACTTTTCTGTAGATGGCAAACAACAACAACCCTTTCAACCTGCGTTACATCCTGGAAAACAACAAGTTATCCGGGACCAACTTTCTTGACTGGGAGATGAATCTCCGAATCGTTCTTAACTATGAGAGGAAACTCTACATCATCGAAACAGATCCTCCCAAGACCCCTGATGCTAATGCTCGTGCGTCCGAACTCACTTCCTTCAAGAAGTATGAGGACGACGCGCGAGATGTAAAGTGTATCATTATGGCCAGTATGACTGCGGAGCTCCAAAGGCTCCACGCGGACATGGAAGTGCGTCCTATGATACAATGCTTAAGAGACCTTTACCAGGGTCAGCCCCAAAACT